ACTCATTTGAGGCTTCTTGAAAAATATTTGTGCCAGTACATGCAAAATTACGTGCTTGCACAGTATGCTCAGCTGCAACAGCAATCCCTAATTTTCTGAGTATTAGTATTTTTAGTATGAGTAATTATTAATTTTTAGTGCTACAGGGTTTTTGTGACTTATGAAGCTGTTTGCTTACTTACACTGGGCAGTGGGAGATTGCTTGTGAATTCAGTTGATCTCTTAAAAGATTCTGCTGATGTTATCACTAATGAAATGTTGGAGTTCTTGAAACCAAACCTTTACCAGTAGATCAAAAGGGGAATCCAGGCTTGAGCAGGACAGGCAGCCATTAAATCAGGCAGCCTGCAGTACTCACACTGGCTTTGAATGACACACAGAAATAGAGATATGTTGGAAGGTGGTGGTGGTGCTGGGGTTTTTGGTTTTGTTTGGCTTTTAGTTTAAGTACCAACAAGAACAGTCTGCGTAGTTATGCTTTTGAAGCACCAGTGGTCTAGTCCTGATACACTGTGGTGGTTTGTAAACTACACGAGTAACTATTTGTCTTCAAGCAGCTCTACTGAACTTGCTAAATTATCTTCAGATAAAGGCTTCTTTCTTCTTTACCCTGAGTGAAATGAAACCTGTTTTCAATCACAGGACCACTGAAAAGTTAGTTATTTGTTGAAACAGACTATCACAAATGGTTGGGTTTCTAGTTTATGTTGGAATTACTGGATTGTGGTATTTAGTAAAAATATTTGTATTTTATGTATTTGGTTTACTAAAATAAGAAAAGGGAGAAATCCACACAAAATTTTGTCTTTAACTAATTCTTCTATTAATTTCAGTGAAAAAGAAACTGTTTCCTGTAGTATCTGTAGGGAAAAAAACCCAAATGCAGACCCCTCCAAAACACTGGCATACATGCTCTATCTACTGAAAGCCAAGGAGTTATTTAAAAGAAAAAAAACCACAAACACCACCACCAAAGAAACCCAAACTCCAACCATAAAACACAAACCCAAAATTTTGGTAGACTGGCATGAGCTATGCCAAATCAGATTAAAAGCTTAAGCCTCAGGCATATGCAGCATGGAAAAAAAGGGCTATTGTTTATTTGGTAGAGTACACCAATGCATCAGTTTATAGAAATACTGTAAGTAAATATGATTGTTTCTTTTGTATTATTTGATTCATGCTTCCCATGCTGAACAGCCCAGAAAGAGTGTCCTGCCAGAAGGGTGGTTCTCTCTGGCAGTAAAATGCCTTTTACTAATCAAGGAGTTGCCTGTTGGGTGCTGTTAGGGGCACAGGATGTCTTCTGCCCTCTGTTTTGGATTGAATTTTGCCTATTTTATATCATCCAAGCCTATAATAAATGAAATAAACAAAAAGATAGTAAGGTGAAACACTTGCATAAACCCCAGCATTTCTTGAAAAGCTCTATTTCCACTTTTGCCTTAATATATGTAAGCCACAAAGTGTTTAAGCTTCTTCAAAAGGCTGCTTTCTAATAATGGCACTATTTCTTAACATTAAATTTTGTGAATTTCTGATATGTTCTTGCTGGGTTTGGTTGTGGGGTTTGTGTCTATGGTTGTATTTTTCAACACAGTAGACTAGCACTTGGAAGAATGGATGACTCTGCCTTAATCTATGTAGAAAATATCTTGAAGTTATTTCTTTTCAACTGTGCAAATATAGTTGTAAGTCCTGTCCTGCTTGCTTCCATCTGCAAATTTGGCATTAAAAAAGCACATCTGCACATCTAGATTTAATGAAATAAAGGAGGGTAACTTAAAGACTGTTGTAGGGTTTCATATATCAGCTCCGTGAATCACTTTTCCTGATCCTTGGGATCGGTGTTGGGACCAGTCTAGTTCAACATCTTTGTCGCTGACATGGACAGTGGGATTGAGTGCACCCTCAGCAGGTTTGCCGATGACACCAAGCTGTGTGGTTCGGTTGATACGCTGGAGGGAAGGAATGCCATCCAGAGGGACCTTGACACACTTGCGAGGTGAGCTGATGCCAGCCTCATGAAGTTTAACCATGCCAAGTACAAGGTCCTACACCTGGGTCAGAGCAATCTCAGGCACAGCTACAGGTTGGGCAGAGAAGAGGTTCAGAGCAGCCCTGCGGAGAAGGACTTGGGGGTGTTGGTCGATAGAAACTGACCATGAGCTGGCTTCAGTGGGTACTCGCAACCCAGAAAGCCAACCGTATCCTGGGCTGCATCAAAAGGAGTGTGACCAGCAAGTCGAAGGAGGTGATCCTGCCCCTCTACTCTGCTCTTGTGAGATCTCGCTTGGAGTATTGTATGCAGTTCTGGTGTCCTCAACATAAAAAGGACATGGAACTGTTGGAACAAGTCCAGAGGAGGACCACGAGGATGATCAGGGGACTGGAGCACCTCCTGTATAAAGATAGGCTGAGAAAGTTGGGGCTGTTGAGCCTGGAGAAGAGAAGGCTGTGTTGAGACCTCATAGCAGCCTTCCAGTATCTGAAGGGGGCCTATAGGGATGCTGGGGAGGGACTCATCATTAGAGACTGTAGTGATAGGACAAGGGGTAATGGGTTCAAACTTAAACAGGGGAAGTTTAGATTGGATAGAACAAAGAAATAGAAGTCTTACTTCAGATTGTCATTTCATTGAATTTTGATGTGCGTTATTACAAAACACACAACCATAAAGTTTTGAGTCCAGGAAATACGTAGATTGAAGTCAAAGAATGCAGACTGCATACATAGGAAAGTTAAAACTATTTTCACTGAGAACACAGATCAACCCCTGCAGAATTTCAGTTGCTGATTTTACTAGCTTTTTAATTCCTAGTTTCTTTATGGAAAGAAAAAGTGTGTGTTTACAATCTAAAGACAATCTGGAAGCAGCAGGCATTGTGTGACCAACCTATATTGATCTTTTTTTCATGCAGAACTTAAAATGCAGATACATTTTAATGACTTTCTGATGGTTTAGTAAATCTTCGGAACAGTATGTTCTTTATGAATGACTCTCCAAACACGTTTTCTTTTCAGTTTCTGTAGGTATGAAATTAGACTTGCTTACATTTTTCTTAGTTGAGCAAAGTTATATTAATTAGTCTTGAGTTTTCCGTATGTGATGTGATACCTGTATTGGCTGAAAAATCTTTTCTGTTCGTGTGGCGCATGTACTTTTTTATAGATGCCGTATGATTTAAGTTTACAAAATATCACCTAAGGTTAGACAATCAAAGTAGTGGGGATTTGTTTGTTTTTGCCCTGCTTACTGATTATCTCCTGCTCTTACCAATTTAGGGATAAACTTTCCATCTTTACTAATGAAAATCAGGATGCTCACTTAGCTCTTTTAAGTCAGTTATCCAGATTTGGAGATTCTTGCCTGTAAGTGGGAAAATTGTTATTTAAGGCTATAATATCCACCAGGAGCTGCTGCCTATGTGGATTAAGAGAAAGAATATATTAGAACAGGTTTGAGCTGGTGGGGGCTGATGTGGTGGGAATGATGTAGTGCAGCTGGTGTGGGGAGAATGGCATATGTGGTTGGCCTCTGCAGGTGGGAGTTGTTGGCTTGTGTTCTGGTATTGCTTCCTGAAGGCTTTCATAATAAACATTTGTAAGACATTTTAAAGGATACAGTCATTGACTAGCTTTTAAATTACACCATTGCTGTTTTCAGCATGTTCTGATACTGCATGAAGCATAAACTAGGAAAACTGATTTTATAGCACAAATACTATCTAAAAGAGGTCAGGGTTATTCAGAAGGAAGTTTCTCTTCTGCTGAACCTATGCTGCTTTCTGTAGAGGATTTACAATCACGTTTATATACACAACACAAGAGGAGAAGGTGTATTTAGTCATTACAGTGGTGTTATCCCTCTTCCCCTCAGATCTCATTAAGGCTTTTGTACTCAGATACCTGGTCCCTCTGTGGCAGCCTGGAGCTTTGTTCCACAGGACAGGTGTGCTTCATTCCTGTCTCCTGAAAGCCTTGGCGCTCTTGTGTTCACTTCCCTGTGGCCAGTAGTTTTGTTCAGGGTATTTGTGAGGAGTATGATATCTGAAGGGGCCTACAAGGACGCAGGAGAGGGACTCCTTATCAGGGACTGTAGCGATAGGACAAGGAGTGATGGCTTCCAACTTAAACAAGGTAAGTTCAGGTTAGATACAAGGAAGAAGCTCTTTAGTGTGAGAGTGGTGAGGCCCTGGAACAGATTGCCCAAGGAACAGGTTGTGGCTGCCCCATCCCTGGCAGTGTTCAAGGCAAAGCTGGACAGAGCCTTGGGCAACATCCCTGCCTATGGTGGGGGGGGTTGGAGCTAGATGATATTAAGGTCCTTTCCAACACTAGCTATTCTATGATCAGATTGTAACTGTACGAATTTTTGGAATTTTTTTAGGGAGTGTTATGATCTGAGATTTTGAATCTTGCTGCTTTTTCCAAAATTTATACTGGAGTTTTCTTTTTATTGTAGATATTGTAAAGGCCTTTAATCTACAGTTACTTTTATCTTGATAACTCAATTACTAAGGCAACAGAGGGCATGCATGTGAAAGTTTATATTTCTAAAGTTACTTAAGTAACTCCAATACTTAAACATTGCACTTGATTTCAGTGTTGCATAAGAGTTTTTGTTGCTTTTGCTGCCACTTGCCATGAGAATACTGAATTTGATGCTCTACGAGAAATACCAGTTCACTTCTATATCTTTCTACCCAGTTTCTTTACCAGTACATTATCTTGCATATCTTGGAAATAAATACTGTTAGAGTCATAGTAGTATATTTCTTCTTGGCTGTTTCTCCCAGGTAGTGTTTATGTCTACTGCAGAGGACTTTTCTTGTACAGAGTATCTTTCATGGATGTGATCTGCTTCTACTGTTTTCTGAGTGACAGCTCCTTTTTTTGACTGGATATTGTTCTGTCTGGTTGTTGCTGACATACAGATATTTTTTTCATGTGAAGAATTTCATACCAATAATGTAATCAATTAATATTCTCTCTTTCAGGTTTAACAGATGAAAAAGTGAAGGCCTATCTTTCTCTTCACCCCCAGGTACTGGATGAGTTTGTCTCGGAAAGTGTTAGTGCAGAAACTGTAGAAAAATGGCTAAAAAGGAAAAATAACAGACAGGAAGGTAAGTCCTTTTTCTTTGCAGTTAATATTTAGCTTTTAACAGCTCAGTTCTTGATTTTAGATTTTAAAAAGGAAAACCTAGTTTTGGTAAAACTAGGCTGTTATAATTTTTATGCCAGGTTCTGGTAATTTTTGAAAGGCCAAATAGATGAACAATTTTATTTAATGTTTTCAGCCTTCTGGCATTTCTATTTTGCAATATACTGGTATTCATTGTGGAGTTTCAGTTTACCCATTTTGAGTTGCCAAACACTATTCTACCAACCTGTAATACCTGTTACATTCATATATTTTGAGAACTTGATTTGGTTGTCTTGGATCTAAAATTGTTAAGTTTTGGATTTAAATTGTACAGTATGTGCAGAATGTAAGCCTCAGTAACATACTGGATATACCATCTCAAAACACATATTAAGTCAGTTTTAGATATGAACATTGGTACAGAGGTTGTAAAGCAACATGTTGAATTTTCAAGGTATTTCTGCTGGGTATAATCCCTCACTTACATGCTCAGATAACTGTTCCTTATGAGTTGGCCTGGGTTGGTGATGATTGTAAATTTTGTGAGATTGTGTGCAGATACAAGATTCATGCAATTCTAACAGTGACGTGGAATGTAAGAGGTAAAATGCAAAGGAGTAGATTATTAAGAAGGTGATGAAAGAAACACTGGTTTTACTCTGTGAATGCATTGCTCTGTGCCTGACTTCTAAGGTTCTTGGGGTTTAAGTTCTGGTGATAATTCTCATTTGAAATAGAGGAGCTATGTCTTCTTCCTAGGATATAACAGAGTTTTTTCTGCAGAATTACAGAAAAAAGAAATTGGTGATCAGGGTCAATAAAGACTATTTTGAGGCAGATTTTTGGTGGTGCTGACTAAAGAGGTTACCTGATGGGAGAGTAAAATTCTGTAACAATAGACCACTTGTTTACTACTTTCTTTGCAGGTTACAAACTGCAGCACTGCAGGGTGTCTGTCATTATAATCCACAAATGCAATCAGAAAAATAGTGTTACAAATTGAGTGAGTAAGTCATGACAGTGCTTTTAGTAGACAGAAGAAATACTTTGATGTTACAGGAAACAACTAGTACTTATTTTAAAGAACTATGTTCCTGTGAAAATTATAATTTTCTCTAAGATTCTTGAAATCACTACAAGAAGTCATTGCTTGTTTGAAATAGTTTATAGTCTGGGTCAAGGATCTTGATGCTAAAAATAAATGAATGCTTTGGATAACATTTTGGCTTCAAGAAGCTTATATTGTTAAGTGGAATTTATTATCATTTGCTCAAAGTTTACCCTATTTGTGAGGGAGAGAGTGGGAGACCTGAAAACACATTCTTGTGAAAGTGCTCATGAAATTTTTTGAGCCGACTACAAAAGCAAAGTAATGGCTGACCACTGTCTTCCTAAAGTTTTAATTTCACTGAATAGCTGCAGTGGTGTGATTTGTCCATTCTTTTATTAAACTTTAAACTTCTGTTTTATGGCTAACTCTCCCCAAACTGTTTGATTAAAAGTGTCAAGCAATAATCATGCTATCATTATCATTCAGCTTTTTATCTGTTATGATGAAGTGGGTCTTTGCCTTCCCTGCTGCTTCCTTTTTTCTGACATTAATCTTTAAGGTGGCCATATTTATCACACTAAAAGTAGTTATGCAAATGTGGCTTTCTTAGTGTTGGATTTCTAGATGAAAATAAGCAGAACTAGATTTAAAACTACACTTGCAAAGTGAAAAAGAATAATTTAAATTCATTTAGTTTGTAGAATGAAAAGGATACTGATTAGCCTTATCCGTGATTTTCTTCTAGAAAGACAAAGTCTATAGTTACGTAAAATACCTCTGATAACAAAACATCTTTATTTGTCAGAATGAAGTATTTTTAAGAAAGAAACTTACTAGATGATGTACTCAGTTCATGTTATGTATGTACAAATCCTACTGTCTGAGTAATGGTGTCAGTGAGAAATGAGAAGATGGAACCGATTCTTCTGATGTCAGCATGGATCTGTGCTGACTTAAAGTGAACATTTATCTCTCTTTACATCCATAGGGGTGTAATTTTCCCTTTATTCCCTCTTGCTTTGGTGTAGTCTACTTTATAAATGATCACATTATGCAATATGATACAGACAGGAAAATGAGGGTTTTTTTGCTTTTGTTTTTTTTTTTTTTTTTTGACAGTTGCCAGGCAGGCAAAATGCTGTTTTGAGATCTCTGGCTTAGTGTCTGTACTCTTATATATTGGTGACGCAGAACAGTAATTAACCTGTATGCAGAAATTGTGTCCTGCCTGATTTACAGGCATCCAGCTGTGTGTACTCTTCAGCCAGAAGTCAATTGGCCTGCAGCCAGGGTAGTTTATCTGAATTTCATTAGCATGAACATAAGCTGAAATGTCTGATTCAGACTTAAGTGAAGTAAAATTTATCTGTGACTGAGATTTATTGAAATACTTACTTTAAATGGATTTTGTTTTCTTTTTTTTTATGGCTCAAAGTGTTGAAAAGGGAGGCAATCAGTAAGTACTCCAATGTTTAAGGTATAAATAGATCCCAAAATATCATGCAATACGTCATCAGAGTATACCAGATATATCTTGTGTTATCACAGTAAATGTTAGATTGAAAGTCACTCATGACAAGTTGATGGTGATCTACCTGGGATTATAAGATTTTTTATTTATTCTTTTTTTTTTATTTATTTATTTTTTTTTATGTTGTTGTGGTGGGGTGGTTTTTTTTTGGTTTTTTTTTTTTTTTTTTAGTGTATTGGAGAAAATCTGCAAAGGCAGCACTGGGAAGGAATGTTGCTCATACTGATATCTGGATATTCACTTTTTGAACCCTGACTATATTCTACCAATTAAATACATGCTCAGAACATACCCAGGCCTTGTATTGTTGTGCATAGCATTTCTAAACAACACTATTTGTACTAAACTAACGCTTGAGTTTTGAATTTTTCATATCCAGATCATAGTGAGTTATGCAGGACTCTGAATGAAACTGGAGCACAAACTGGACTGCTTCTCATGCAAAGAAAGTATTTTTGATTGGCTTTAGCAAGCAAAAGTTAACCAAGTAAGAGGATGTCTCGATAAAAGAAACAGAAAAGATATTTCTGGGCTAATTTTAAGTCTTCTTCAAAATTGTTTACGTATTAGCTAATGAAGAAACTTGTCTACAAGTCTACACATTACGCCTACTACTTGTAGTCTGAGGTTTGGTCTGTACTTCATGCATTATGTCCTTATGGGATGGTGTATAAAGTTTATAGGTGAGAAAAAGCTCTTAATAAAGACATAGTAAGAAGTGTCTTTGCTTGATCACTAATCTTTCTTCAGATGCTGATGTAAGTTAGACCAATAAGATGTGTGATCTTGCTTTAAATATTCGTTAAAGGTACCTCTAGATAGAAGGTGATTTTTTTTAATGGACTTTCAGAGTTAGTCTTCCAGAAGGAGATCTTTTCTTTTCCAGATGCCTAGAAAGAATACTCACAAAACTCGGATGATGTCCTCTGTTTGTCCTTTTCCATATCATTCAAGCAAAAAGAACAGATGTCTGTAGCAAGAGCCATAAGATTATGGACGTTTTGGGCTCTGCTGGGTAGATCCTCATCTCCCAACAAATTTCTCAGAAAAATATTTAAAGATCTTAGTTATATTATTTGAAACTTCACAGCCACAGCAAGAGGCTAAGCACATTGATTATAAGTGATCTACACATCTTTTGCACTGCCAGTAGTGAATATCACAGGTGCCTTTCCTAATTTTTTAGTGGTGTTTTTGTATAGGAAGACAGGACAAACTATTGGCAGAGAGTTTCTAAGGGAAAAGCTGTGTGTATCCTCTCTTGGTCTGTGGGAGCAAAGTTATCACTTCCCTAAGGGGATGGCCCTCATGTTCATCAAAGTACATGATCATGTGCTTAATTAGTGCTGAATCTGGACATATCACAACAGCCTTATCCATTATTTTCTTCCAGCAGTATGTGCAAAAACCATTTAAAGCCATGTATAGTGGGGACTTAAGGTGCTTTGCTATCATAAAAATGCTCTTGTTAAGTAATTCTTAAATACTATTTTTTTAAAGTTTTAAAATGGAAAATTGTATATAGAATAGTACATTTGGTATGCAATATGGCGCTGATTATACAAAGTCAGAAGTTAGTCTGTTAAGTGCAGTGGACTTCCTGCATTTACAGGAACCCAAAATTTCATAACTGACCTGTTTTAAAAAAGAAAAAGTGTAGAAAATAGAAAATAATTGCTTAATATAATGTTAGTGTGATATTGCTGTAATGTTTATTCAGGATGTGTAGTCCTCAAGAAGACATGACATAATTTTTCCTGGGCTTTAAAATAGTCTTATTGTAAGTCCAAGATATTGCCATCCTAATACTAGTATTTCCATTTACTGCCTTTATAATGTAATACCATGCTGTAACCTGCTGTGCATTCAAGCAAGAAGAGAATATATTACGTAATATGACCAAAATATTTAGCATTTTCTGATATTTCCATATATGACTTGTTGAAACTGAAAACACATGAAATTACTTTTGAAGTAATTTTACATATATTGTTTTATGGACTGTTGGTTTTTCCTGTTAAACGTGCCTGTATCCATCAATTTCCTGTCCATTAAATATGTATTTGATAGATAGGCTATTGCTAGTATGATCCAAATGATTAAATGGGTGTATTTGTTTTTTTCAGTTAAAGGACATGTGTGATCATTCAAAGTACTTCTTTTTTATTTACCACTACACAACAAATCTGAGTGCGTTCATTGCTACTCTTATGGAATTAATGTAAGCAGTCTGGCTGACTGCTGTATAAAATGTAGTTCTTAGTTATTTACACCATGAGAAAATCATGCACTTATCTCATTTGTGTTTTATTTCTTGTGAAGCAAATGTGATAACCGTGCGTGGGTTCAAAATTCAGATGAAGCCACAATTCTGTCCTTTAGCTCAGCCATTTAGCTT